AAAATGAAAAAAAAGGGTCGGAAACCCAAAATTTTTGGCCCCCCCGGGCCCCAAAAAGGGGCTGTTTTGACTTTCCCCAGGACCCGAAGTTGTTGAGGCAGTGGGATTTGCTGACTGTTTCCCGAGTTTCCCGTGTCGGGAAACCCTTTATTGCCCGTCAGAGTTTGCCCTTATTCGGGGACAGATTGTCCTTCCCCCTGTTTTTGGGACCGGGAGGCTGGGCCGGGAAGGGCCCTTTAGAGGGGGGGGGTTTAAAAACCCTTCAATTGGGTCAAAAGGGTCATGTTACTGTCCCGATTTGGGAGGCAAAAATGGGGGAGGATTTTTTAAGTGTCGGCCCTGCCCGGCTGAGTTTAAAAGTACTTTAAAAAGGAGGTTCCCGTCCCGGGCCCTCCGGGAAACCCCCAGAGTTTCTTATGATCGTTTATGTACGAATTTGGGTTTCTTACCTCGGGCATGTTCTGTCTAGTCATGGCCCGGGTCCCTTTCACAAAGTATTCGGTGGCTATACCCCCCAGAGAAACAGGGTGGCACCGTGGCCGTTTAAGCGGTCTGCAAACAATTTTTTACAGGTTTTTCAGGTGTCCACCCGGAAAAACATTCAGGACCAAAGGGGGATTTTTTTCGGGTACTCTTTAAAGAACGAGGTTTTTAAACCCCCGTAGGGGGTGAAAGTTCCCGCCCACCCCCTATCAAACCCCGGGAAAAAAAAGGGGATGCGGAAAGGGGGCCAAAACCCCCACCCTTTCTCCCGATGCTGCGGACTCTGGGGGACCAAACAAAAAGGCCCCGGTGGCCCCCAAAAACCTTTCCCGAATATGGTGGGCCTATAAAACAGGGTACACAGTACCCGGATATCCCCAATTGTCTTTTTTGGGAGAGCCGAAGGGGATTGAAGTCTCCCATGCCCCATCCGATGCAGCCCCAAACCAGAAAAATGCCCCATGGGGGCAAGGACCCCTGCCCGGGGGACGAGGATCCTTAGAAGTTTGGGATTTCCCAAACCAAAAACCGTGCAGAAAAGGGGGGGGTATTCCCCGGGGGATTTATTGTTAGTCCCCAAAACCCAAAAAGGGGCCGTTGGAAAGTTGGGGGTGGCGGTTTGGGGGGGGGGTCCCATAAACGGTTTTAAGAGGGGGAAGGTTAGACCTGCCCATCCCCGGGTTTTGAGGGGGAGGGGCCCAAAAAAGGGGTGGGGGGCCCCACCCAAATTTTCCCGTTTTTTTTGTTGAGAGTTTTTAATTTTTTTAATTTAACCAGTTGGTGGAGGGGGGGGGCTCCCCCTTTTCGGTACAGAGGAAAACCCTTAGAGGAGGGGGGGAATGGTGGGTTGTCCCCGCCCCCCGGTACCAAGAGGCTCCAACCCCTAGAAGTTTGCCCCCAAGGGAAAGGGTTGAGTGGTCAGCAGTCCTTCCCATTAAATGGCCGAGTCCCCAGGGCTTCTGAGCCTGTACTTATGAAGGTAACAAGGCCCCCAAAGTGGTTTTGCCCCACAGCGCCCATGCCCCGAATTTTGGGGGGTATGGGGAGGGTTGCCAAGGAAAGACAAAAATTTGTGGGTTGGCATGTGAAAAATGGGGAAAAAAGCTCTCATTGTTTGAACCTGTTTGTGTTTAGTAAAATTTTTGGGTGGGGTTTAAAATTTTTTGTTTTTTGGAGGCATTCTGGGGTTTGCCCCAAAGAGCCCCCCTGTTTTCCCAACACAGCCTAGTTTCAAAAGATATTTTATTTTCATAAAGAGGTTTGGGGGTTTTTTTAAACAGAGTTTAGGGAACGGGGAAAGGGGAAGGGGAAAAGCAGCATGTTTTGGAGGATGGGGGAATGCCCGGAGGGGTGTGGAGGAATCTGATGGCATCCCAAGTGTAGAAATTCCCTCATTTAACCAAAGGGTCCCGTTTAAATGAAAGGGTGATTTATGTCCCAGACCCTAAAACTGTTCCCGAGGGGAAAAGGAAAGATTGCTGCATAGGTATGCTGTTTGAGAGCAGCAGGGAACAAAGCAAAATTACAATGCGCGTTACCGCATGCTTGTTGCTGAGAGAATTTGATTCTGTCAGAGTCAAACGGAGGCATAGCCAGACCCGGGATCGGTAAGTAATGATACGTGCACGCACCTCATTTCAGTGTTGGCACTAGAGGACTGAGTCCACAAGCCTATAGTTTAGTTTTTTAGTTAGCGGTCTCTGTATGCTGTCAGGCCAACAAAAAAAAAAAAAAAGTAAATTGAATATGGAAATGGATCTCCATATACTTAAAGTGGCATTTCAAATTGGGAGAGCTGATATACATCCAACAAATCATTCAAGCCAGGATCTGGCGTTTTGTCCTCAGAAGGAATAATCAGGCATGTGCTACGGACCAGTTATGGTGAGGGATATACTGTTGATTTTGTGTAAGATTGTAAAGCTTGTTGTTGCTGCACCACAGGTATAGCCAACTTTCATTCACCCATACACTTATTCCTGGCTCTTTTTCAGGTTAAATATCGGGTATGGTGTGGCAGCTTAGCTTGTGCCGCCGCCAGTAGGGTAAATTAATACTACCTTCTACCTTCATCCATTAGGAGGCGCCATGCTGTGCAGCTCCAAATTGGGTCTCAAGCCTTTGGCTGGGTGTGTATCTAAATTTATTGTATGTTCTCAGCATTTGTGGTTGTGTTTATTTGCCACAATCTAAGTAAAATTTCTGTTTGGCAAAAGTTGGTGTTGGGGTTGCCTTTCCTCGTTCTGTGGACTTTCACTGTATTCCAGGGGAGCCCACGCCGGTTTCACGGGGCTTACTCACAACCTTTAGAGAAACCACTATAGTTCTGCAATGCCCGAGCTTGAGAACGGTTACTATTAGAGACTTGTGCTACAGTTGTATGTACAAACAAGTTCGATGATCTGCAGTGAGAATTCTGCAGATACAACGTCCATAACAATATTATAATTAATTTTCAACACTGTAAGACAAAGTTAAAAGTGCCAGAAGTGCACATACGGAAGATGTTCAGCGTATAAGGAAAAGAATGAAAATAACATTCTACCAGGATGGAAAGTTGCATAGATAAGAAAAAAGGTAAGAGGAAGGAAAGTCGGTAATGTTTAACAAGAAAGAGTAAAGATAAAAAAGGACGAGATAAGGAATAGGAACAGAGGGGAGGACAGAAAGAAAAAGGGAGAGGGAAAGAAAAAGGAAATATAATAGGGAGGGATAGGACACGATAAAAGAACGGGGGAGGGGAATGAAAAGAAGGAATTGGGGTGGGAAATGAGTGAGTGAAGAAGATGGAATAGCAGAAGGATAGAGAAGAATGGAAAGGAATAGGGAAGAAGGAAGAGAAGAAGGTAAGGCGGATAGTGAAGCTTCCACCTAAGGTCCATCTATATTGTTATTTATGTTTTCTCAGAAAATGTTGTGATGGCATGCAATTAGGTAAGGCACAACCCACAACCATGAGCACTGATGCCAGTAACATAAAGTAACCTAAATAATTTATTTCTTTATTTTGGCCACACAAAATAGCCATTTGATTCTATGATGTCTGTGGGGTGACTGCATTTTGCTCTTCATCATGATTTTTTCCTTTGCTGTTTTGAAATAGTGTGCCGAATTCTCAGAACAAAAGAACACCAGCACTCGAGGCTTAAAAATTTCATGTTTACTGTAAGTTCAGTAAAAGTAAAGTATAACTATTACTTCCAGACTTATCATCTCCAGCTTCAGTGTATCACCATTCTTCTGCCATTCCTCTACATCTGAAGATATTTTCCTCATTAACTTTGTTTACCTACAAAAACTTAAAAGACAACCTTTCAGCAATCTCTGCTCTAAAACTTAAGCATCAGAGATGTTAGAAGGGTTGTAAAGAGGATTAGAAAACCAGCAGGAAAAAAACACATAGTGGGCAATTTAATAAAGTTTTTTCTTTTGGGTAGCATACTAAATATGTCTTCACTTCAAACACCGTCATGAGCAGAGAGAGGAAATAATGAGACATCTCCTGCACTTAATTGCAGAAAACTATTTTAACAAAATGAAAAAAAAATCTCCTTTAATAAACCAACCCCTTTATCTGAGCAGTCTTAGCTTGAAAACTGACAATATGCCTAAAACGCCTAAATTCCAGTATCATTTGTTGTGCTTAATGATCAGGAAATAAGGAATTGGTGCAACAAAATATCTGACAATAGTTAAAGCTTTACTCAAAATGTTTGGTAACCTTCTGTTAACATGTCAAATATATTTTTTGAATGTCCTTTTGATTAAATGCAATTTTGCACTTAGGAGGGACACAGGTGGTTGATTTACAAAAATCTGGAGAGTGCAAAATCTGGTGCAGCTGTGCATAGAAACAATTCTAGGTTCCAGATTGTATTGTCAAAGCTTACAGTCACTGAAACAAGTTGAAGTTAGAATCTGATTGGCTAGCATGTACAGTTGCACCACATCTTGTAGTATTTATATAGCTAATATATATATACAGTGGGGCAAAAACGTATTTAGTCAGCCACCAATTGTGCAAGTTCTCCCACTTAAAAAGATGAGAGGAGACCTGTAATTGGTATCATAGGTAGACCTCAACTATGAGGAGACCCCCCCCCCCCCCCCCCCCCCCCAAATGAGAAAAAAAATCCAGACAATCACATTGGCTGATTTGGAAAGAATTTATTTGCAAATTATGGTGGAAAATAAGTATTGAGGTCACCTACAAAACCAAGCAAGATTTCTGGCTCTCACAGACCTGTTACCTTCTTCTTTAAGAGGCTCCTCTGTCCTGCACTCCATTACCTGTATTCAATGGAACCTGTTTGAACTTGTTATCAGTATAAAAGACACCTGTCCACAACCTCAAACAGTCACACTCCAAACTCCACTATGGTGAAGACCAAAGAGCTGTCGAAGGACACCAGAAACAAAATTGTAGACCTGCCACCAGGCTGGGAAGACTGAATCTGAATCTGTGAAGGGTGTTTTCTTCACCAGTGCCCTGATGATCAGTGTAGATGTCCCCTCCAAGGAATGCCGATAACCGGCATTTCCCTGTTTACATGCGATCAGCTGTGATTGGACACAGCTGATCACATGACCGAGCTCTTTCCATGGATTGGTGATCCGCCGATCGCCGCGCTGCGCGCGCTTCTCCGGAGCCGCGCATGCGCGGTGAGAATGGGAGGACATCATATGACGTCCTCCAGAACGAGAGGACCACCTTGTGCCAGTCATTGGACTATATGGTGGGCGGGAAGCGGTTACAGACATATAGTATATTTAAAATGTATTTAAAATATTTTTTATAAATTTTGTAATAAAAATGTATTTCAACATACAATAAAAATATATATGTCAATATATTTGGGAAGAATATTTTTTAAATATATTTCAAAATATTTTTCTTCCATGTGGGCTTGCCCATTTGGGTACCCCCAGAGCTCTTAATACTCACCTTTCTAGAGCTCCCCTCATCATTCCTGCCTGCGTTGCTGCCGGCACTAAAATTCCCAATGTCAGCTGATGTCACACACTAAGGAAAGCCTTGATGTTACTTCCTCCGTCAAATAATAAACAGGGGAGATTTAATTTGAAACTAACAATACTTTGTATATAAGATATGACATGCATCACCCTGTATATGCCCATCCCCATCAGTGTACTTCAGAAACGTATCCAAATTCAGGATTCAAAATCTATATACTCTATAAAGTTCTACCTTTACTGTCAAACTAGAGCTAGATAGAATTCCTCATCTCCTAGGACCACATTACTCTATCACAACTATTATCGATATTCTATCATTTCTATCTCAATTTTCTATGACTTCTATTTGTCTGTCATAGCTCAAATAAATCTAACTAGATCTTACAATTTTTTTCTCTCAAACTCTCCTCTGTTATTGTCTGCTCAATATCTCTAAAAAGGCAAGGTTTCCAAAAAAAGGTAAAAATAAAGCACCACAAAACTCAAATAAATATTCCCCAAACCCAATATGTATAATTGCTTTGCATAGCAACATCATCAAGGGTAAAAAGTTCTCAAAATGCTCAAACAATAAAAGTAATAGTAATTATTATCAGTGCAGATACTCCAGGTGCTGCTTGAGAAGTCCATCCATGCTCCTAATCACAAGGAAACAGTACAACGCCGATCACACGTCCATGATGCCACCTCTTTGTAAAATCTATATGAACCTCTAGCAACTAAAAAGTGTATTAGTATTTTAGAAGTTTACAAAGCCAGATCTTCATAGATATTTTTAAGTACAGAAAGCAATTATCAATGTATCTTTATGATACTGTTTGTCTTATTCAAAAGGGATCTCCTTTAAAGTGGTTGTAAACCTTTGCATATACCCAGTGAAGTGACTGGCATCAGGTGATACACAGAGATGAAACAAATCCTCCTACATACAGCAAGTTGTACCTGTTTATATGTAGTATTCTCTGCTCTACATCCATTCAAAGTCCAGAATTTATAAAGCTTTACTGAGATTTCAGAAAAAGGTGAAATTACACTCTGCAGAGCTCAGTGAGGAGAGCTCTGAGAGCTGATTGGACAGAAGAGACACTCCCCCCTTCATACAGCTCATTGGAGTTGAGGCAGTCAATCTGCTGGAAGTCCCTCTCCTGTCAATGTTATTCTCTTGGTGTCAGGAAAGCTTGTCAGAAGTGATTCATGCTAATAGCAGAGGAATGAAGTCACAGACTGATATGACACTTAGTGCTCTTAATTGAGAGAAGTACACATTATAGAGGGAAATGCTTTATTCGTATTTCATGTCTGTGGTTTACAACCACTTTAAGTCTTCTATTTAGAGACTGGGATGTACTGGGAGCATTTTGAGTTATAGTGTTCTCTGGTCATTTGACATTTTTGACTCTGTGCTCTCTGTCTGACAAAACTATGCTAGCAGCTGGTCATTTATTGAACTACGATAGGTATAAATCAAATCACCGATCTTCGCCTGGAGCTTGTTATAATCTATAGCTCAACTCCAGGTTCACAGTAAGTGGATAACCAGAGCACTATTGCACTGGGAATTAAAAAGGGTCAGACATGATTGACTTTAAACTGACTTTATAATTTATTAAGCAACTAGAGAGTCATCAAACTCACGGGCACACTACTAACTGGAAGCAAAAAAAGCATCAAGCGGGATTCTGGAGGTTACAGTAGTCTCTAAACAGATTGTTAGCAAGTGTGTCCTTTTCAGCCCTGACACACATACTGATAAAAAATGGAGGTAATTATGTCAAAAAGTGCAGAGTTAATACTTGATATCACAAAAAAACAATCACAAAGCTGGTTAGTAATGTTTCCAGTGTAAGAATTAGACACACACACTGTAACAAGGTCAAAGTTTAATAAATAACCTAAATAATAAAAACCTTCTCCCTAGCTCTGCAATAAAAATATTTGAAAATAAAATAAGAATCACTTTCGCTATGCAGAATACAGCACTTTTGGCCAGGCAATGTTTTTTTAATAAGCAGGATTGTATGAAGCATGCAGATAGATTGGCACAATTTCAAGGTTATTGGCTCAACTGCTGAATCTGAACAGGGGTTCCCTAATGTAGTTTCCTGCACTATTCAGAGTACCTACTAAATAAAATATGATCTGAATATCATTCTCGTGTTCTGCCATGATTTATGCCTTACAAAGGCAAGTACCACAACCAGTGATTACTTAAAGTACTAGGGGTACAGTTAGAATTGAATTCCAGGTACCTAACTATTCTTAACCACTTCAAGTCTGGACACTTTTACCACCTTCCTGCCCAGGCCAATTTTCAGCTTTCAGCGCTATCACACTTTGAATGACAATTGCGCGGTCATCCAACACTGTACCCATATGAATTTTTTAACATTTTTTGAAACAGATAAATACTGTGTGAGCTGTGATTGGTCACAGCTTGTCACATGGTACAAGGCTGTTGTGAATAGCCTTGTACCATGTGACCTCTGTGATCACTCACAGATTTCACACGTAGTAAGCAATGATGTCAGAAGTGACATCTTGCTTACTACTATTCATGTAATCACTGATTGGCCAATCACTGATCACATGATCGGGACCTCACACAGAGGTCCCGTACAATGATCAGTGTTCTGCTGTGTCCTCCAGATACAGCAGGCACTGGATCATGGTGCTGTGCTCTCCCAGGGAGCACGCACAAGCAGGGAAGTGAGGAGGAAGTTTATAAACGGCCACCCGCCCCTGCACTGCTCCCGTCTGGCCGTTTATATACATGGACCGGACGGGAAGTGGTTAAAAATGTTCCTTCCCCCCTCCAAACTCCTATGCTAACTAACTTGGGTGATAAAGATATATTTATATACCTATTTTCAGGCCATTCCAGTCTGGTCATGCTATCTGGCTTCTCTTTGTCAGTAGGCAGTGGCTGCAGGGGAGAGGATCGAGCACCAGCAATGGTTTTTGCCATAGGGAGCCAGGCATTGCCAGCCATTGTCAAGTGTTCTCTCCTGTCCCCTGCAGTTGGTGCTGGCTGACATAAGGGAGATCACGTGACCGGACCAGAGCGGTCTAAAAAATAAGTAAGTATATGCATCTTTCTTAAACAGGTTAGTTTGCAAAGGTGTCAAAAAAGACGGTATATAACGAATCCTATGCAGAGTAAATATTCACTACTATAGTGGATGCAATTATTTTATTGAGATCAATTAGATCATGAAAAGGTAGGCATTGAAATCATGGTGAACACATTGTCAATCACGAATATAAAATCAAGAAAGAAAAACATAAAAGAAAAAAACCCACTTGCACCGGTGGCAACTAATCCTTGAATAGAGATTAGTCATATCTTGTTATTTAGTAACACGAGACTTATATGTTCTGAACCTCATTAACCACTTGCCGTCCGGCCACTGTATATAAACGGCTGGACGGTGGCAGTCCAGGAGCGGGTTGTCCGGACTTGAAGTGGTTAAGGAACTCCAGCACTCTTATTTATAGAGAAATTTTTGGGCTTTTTATAGGTGAATACTGATTTTTTATCTTGTGATAAGCATTATCATATGTAAAACGGGACAATTTACGGATTTACGGAACCTCTCAAAGGAACCGCCTTGCTCTTACATACGTAGAAGAGGAATTTTTGGAGCCATTAGAAGGCTATTTTCATATATGTCTAGTGCAACATTGCACAATCAAGATATACCTATCACAGTTTATTCAATTTGTTGGCATCTAGGAGGATATACACCTCTCATCTTTACTCGGGATCCACATAGATCCATAATCTACCAGTGGAAACAAACATGATCTCTATCAGGGTAATTATTTTCTCTTTTGGAACCGCCCATGATTATGATTGATTTTTTGATGTATTAACATCTGTTTATTTATTTTACAGTCATTATTATTGTTATCCACTTAAAGTATCCTATTTAAGGGATATCGGCCAATTGGAATTGGCCATACACAATGGAACTGTTCTAACCAGGGGTGGACTGACCATTTGGAAACTTGAGCACTGCCCGAGGGCCCGGGGTCAGTAGGGGGCCCCATGAGATGCCCCTGGTACCTTTTTCATAGACTTTTTTGAGTTTGGGCAAGGACACAGGGGCCCCATGATCCCCTATTGCCCGGGGGCCCCATGAGTTGTCAGTCCGCTCCTGGTTCTAACCAATCTATGTGATGATGATGAATTACAAAGAAGGTAATATTGTATACTATTCCTCCATTAGTGGCCATGATATTTATATTTAGGGTTTAGTTTGATGATGCAAGATAACAATAGCCCTTAACATTTATTTCAGGATTCTTGTATTTATCATATATTTATTCTTCAGGAGTTTCATCATTCATTTTTCATCACTATATTTTGATGAACATTTGAAGGAAAAGTTTGATATCTTAAAGATAGAAGACAAAGATTCAGAAAACTTAATACTGAAGATATACTTATATCTTGATTCAATATATGGACTTCCTATACCAAATACAAAAGAAGTCTTTGCCCCATATTCATTATGGCTTTTTTGCCATAGACGCAGCTAAGTGAAAACGCAGAATGTTTTTTTGTTTTTCTTTCTTGATTTTATTTTCGTGATTGACAATGTGTTCACCAAGATTCCAATGTCTACCTTTTCATGATCTAATTGATCTCAATAAAATAATTGCATCGACTATAATAGTGAATATTTACTCTGCATAGGATTTGATATATACCGTCTTTTCTGGCAGGTCTGCTCTTGTCAGCTGCTAACATTATTCTATACGCTTTTTGGTTTAGAATCCACACCTCAGTTATGGTGAGTGGGGGATATGCTTATTGATGGGTGGATACACCCCTATTTATGGCACTTTTTCTTTTTTGTATAGTTTTCAAAGGTGTTAGAAGGGGGGAGGGAGCATTTTTTAAGATTAGTTACGTTTATCCTGGAATTCTACTTTAAAGATGATCTCTAGACAAACAGCTAAAGGCTCAAATGAATTACTTATAGGGAGCTGGTTTACTAGCCAAAGGATGTGGATTCATCTCCTTCCCTCTCTGGAATTTTCACAGCACCATCACAAAGCATAGGCAGGTAGATGACACCACTTTTCTACTGTAGGGATATAGTGATGTCATCTCTCCACCTTTTGCTGACTCAATGGTGGCAATCAACAGAGCAGCTTAAAACTGACAAGGTTATCCCTTTGCTCGTTTCTCTCTCTCTCTTCCTATGAGAATGTTCTTATTAGATTTGCATGCAGCACATCTGATTGGCTCCTAATGATAAGCCACTCCCAGTCTCTGCTGAAAAAAATTAAAAATCATGTCTTTACACTGGCTGCATTAAAAATAGATTTGATTATTTATTAATGAATACTTTGCTGCAGTCATGTGTGTCTTTTACAGTTGCAAGAAAAAGTATGTGAACCCCTTGGGATTACATGGAGTTTTGCATGAATTGGGCATAAAATGTGCTCTGAACGTCATCTAAGTCACAACAATAGAAGAACACAGTCTGCTGAACATAATACTACACAAACATTAGATGTTGCCATGGTTTAATTGCACATAACATGTAAACATTCACAGTGCAGGGAGGAAAAAGTATGTGAACCTTTGGAGTTAATAACTGGTTGACCCTCCTTTGGCAGCAATAACCTCAACCAAACGTTTCCTGTAGTTGCAGATCAGACCTGCACAACGATCTGGAGTAATTTTGGACCACTCCTCTTCACAAACCTGTTTCAGTGTAGCAATATTCTTGGGATGTCTGGTGTGAATCACTCTCTTAAGGTCATGCCACAGCATTTCAATTGGGTTGAGGTCAGGACTCTGACTGGGCCACTCCAGAAGGCGTATTCTGTGCTGTTGCAGCCATTGTTTTGTTGAATTACTTGTATGCTTTGGGTCATTGTCCTGTTGCATCACCTATCCTCTGCGGAGCTTCAGTTGGCAGACAGATGGGCGTACGTTTTCCTGCAAAATGTCTTGATAAACTCTGGAATTCATTTTCCCATCAATGACAACAATCCGTCCAGGCCCTGAGGCAGCAAAGCAGCCCCAAACCATGATGCTCCCTCCGCCATGTTTTACAGTGGGGATGAGGTTTTGATGTTGGTGTGCTGTGCCTTTTTTTTCTCCACACATAGTGTTGTGTGTTCTTCCCAAACAACTCAATCTTGGTTTCATCTGTCCACAGTATATTTTGCCAGTAGTGCTGTGGAACATCCAGGTGCTCTTTTGCAAACTTCAAACGTGCTGCAATATTCTTTTTTGGACAGCAATGGCTTCCTCCGTGGTGTCCTCCCATGTACTCCATTCTTGTTTAATGTTTTCCTTATAGTAGATGTGTCAACAAAAATGTTAGCATGTGCCAGAGATTTCTGTAGGTCTTTAGCTGACACTCCAGGATTCTTCTTTACCTCATGCAGCATTCTGCACTGTGCTCTTGCAGTCATTTTTACAGGACGACCACGCCTAGGGAGAGTAGCAACAAGCCTAAACTTTCTCCATTTGTAGACAGTCTGTCTTACCGTGGACACATGAACATCAAGGCTTTTGGAGATACTTTTGTAACCCTTTCCAGCTTCATGCAAGTCAACAATTCTTGATCGTAGGTCTTCTGAGAGCTCTTTTCTGCGAGGCATGGTTCACATCAGACAGTGCTTCTTGAAACCAGTAAACGCAAAACAGGTGTGTGTTTTTTAAGGGCAGGACAGCTGTCAGCAACACATCCAATATCATCACACTGATTGGAGTCAAGGTTGGCTCACTCCTGGCTCCAATTAGCTCTGGGAAAAGTCATTAAGCTAGGGCCTCACATACTTTTTCCTCCCTGTACTGTGAATGTTTACATGTTATGTGCAATTAAACCATGGCAACATCTAATGTTTGTGTAGTATTATGTTCAGCAGACTGTGTTCTTCTATTGTTGTGACTTAGATGACGTTCAGAGCACATTTTATGCCCAATTCATGCAAAACTCCACGTAATCCCAAGGGGTTCACATACTTTTTCTTGAAACTTTATATCTGCTTTGAGTTCAGCGTTAACAACTGGACCATAATAGCCATATTGGAAGTATTAATTATCACCCGTAGATATGTTTTAATAAAGGAGTTATGAGACATTATTTCTCCTTTTTTTGTGCAAATAATTATGAAGAGGAAAGTCATGTTCCCAGTGGTCTACAACAGAGATGAATATAGGCAGATATCTCTCTGGTTGACCACCCCATCTGTGGTCATACCTCCCTGTGTCTCTTTTTTTTATTCATTTGGTTTCTCTTTTTTTTCTAAGGATAGCTCCGGATGTTTGCTGCACATGTCCTTGAAATCTAGCCAAGGTTATTTTAGATATTGTGAGCTACACAATGCCCTCTCCAATGTAAGGAAGGGTTAGAATTTCTGACAATGTATTTTTTCTTGCTACCTGTGCCTTTCAATGATTCTAAAGGCTCAGGTTTTATTTTTTAAAAATAACAAACATGTCATACTTACCTGCTCTGTGCAATGGTTCTGCACATAGCAGCCTGGTCCTCCTCTTCTAGGGTCTCCTGCCGATGCTCCTGGCTCCTCCCCCCACTGAGTGCCCCCATAACTGCTTGCTATGGAGACACATTCATGTGTGCTTGCTCCATAAGACACACAGAGCACAGCTTGGCCCCCAGCCCCAGCTCCCTCCTCACTGTCTGTGATTGACAGCAGCAGGAGCCCTTGTGTTTGAGCCAATGAGGAGAGAGAGCATCGCTAGAGCCTCTGCTCCCATGCACATCGCTGGATTTAAAATCAGGCTTAGGTAAGTAATTATGGGGGCTAGGGTGGGGCAGTGAAGCTGCTTCCATAAAAAAGCATGACGGTAAAAGACCTTCTGCCTTTGGAACCACTTTCAATCTCTCCAATGGGGGGGCATAAACAGCAAAGAAAAAAAAAACCTTGACAGCAAAACTACAAAAAAAATAGGAGTTAGCCTTCAATTTTCTTTATATATAGTTGTTTTGTACATTTTGTAGTATATATTATTTGTCTTTTTGTCAAATAAAATGACTTTTTAAAGTCACTATGTACCAGATAATTTTCACTTTTTATTTTGGAATTTTGTGCTCTGGATTAAGTAGAGAACAGAGTTAGACCCTCTGTTATGATTTTTTTTTGTGTCTTTTGCTCCCTGATGAGATCTCCCTCACTTCCTTCCCCAGGTGACCAGGAGGAACTAAGGGTAATCTTCCCAAAAAGGATTCTGAGACTATTCAACACAATAGTGGTTCTAAACCTTCCCCTCTCTCCTAGATTCTTTCACTTCCTGTCTAGGTGATTATGCAGGAAGTGAGGGGATGTCTCCCCAGTGATACAAGCAGCTTGACTGAGGTTCTAAAATTTTTGAACTGCATCCAAAAGAAAAAATGGAGTTGCACTTCAAAATTTTAAATCAGACCATTTTCAAGCTACAAGTTTAATTTGAACGCTCTCCTTTCTAGCTAATCTTTATTGAATTCTATTAGTTCTGGCTCTTTTGGATTTATGTATTGCTGCAAAGGTTTCCAATAAGGACCCTGCCTCTTAGAGTGTGCAGCACTCAGTTCTGAGGTAGCAAGGGCAAAACGTCTTTAATGTGCTTTGCTGGATTAACAGCTTCCCGAATGCCCTATAACAGAACTACTGCTACAGGGTGGCAGGGCTGTGCAAAATCACATATATATATATATATATATATATATATATATATATATATATATATATATATATACATGATTTTGCACATCCAGGTAGGGAGCATGCGCGCCCATTGGTGGCTACAGCTGTCGATCACCAGGTCCTGGCCAGAAATTCCCTGCCAACACCTGGCCATCGCTGAGAAACACTGACGGGGGAGAGGTCTGTATGTAAACAATAGAAATCTCTCCCCTGTCAGCTCCAGCATGCATTTTTATTAGCACAGAACATCTGCACTGTATTAGTGTCACTAAGTGTCACTAAGTTAGTCAGTTCGCCCCCCCCCCCCCCCCCCCCCCCCCCCCCCCCCCCAGTATCAGAATGCCCGCCGCAGTCCCAGAAATAAGTCACTGATCGCCGCCAATACTAGTATAAAAAAAAACAATTCTAGTATATATACTGCCATTTGTAGATGCTATGACTTTCACGTAAAGCAATTAATTTACACATATTGGGATTTTTTTTTTTTTTAACAGACATGTAGCAGAATACATTTTGGCCTAAATATAAGGTGAAATTAGATTTTTTTTTACTAGATATGTTCTGTAGCAAAAAGTCAAAAATAGATTTTTTTTTTAAAATGGTTGATCTTTTTTTGTTTATAGCACAAAAAATAAATTTCAGTGGAAATCAAATACCACTGAAAGAAAGCTCCATTTGTGGAGCATAGCAATTGTCAGTTAAAGTAACGCAGTGCTGTATTGCAAAAAATTTCCTGGTCAGGAAGGGGGCGGGGTAAAATCCTATGGAGGGCAAGTGGTTAAAAACAAAGAGCACTTATAATAGGGCTTTGAAGTAAGGCTAGTCAAACGCACACTTTGTTTCTAAGAAATAATGGACATATGATTAAAAAAATATTGGGGCATTGGCCAACACGGTTTGCTGGTAAACACTTTTCTTTACTTCTTTTCTTTTTTAAGTCCTGCTTAAATTGCAATCAGTTACACTAATATCTGTAACAGTATATCTGAAAACCCTCCTTAATGACTTTAATTTGAAAGTCATTTGAATGTACTATGTAACCAACATCCTTTTATGTAAGAAAGAATGTGAGTCCTGATGCTGCAATCAGCAGAAAGGAAGGCACAAGCCCAGAAAGATAAAGAGATTTCCAGTCAAATCCCATTAAGAAGCCAAAGTCTACCACACCACTATGCATTCCTGGTCATTTCATCACAGTCTAAGGAACTTTGCAGTATTCACACAAATGGCACACTTGCTTAATGGGTGCTTTGAACACACTGAATAAACTAAAGATGTGTCCCTGAATCTGCATAAAACATTTAAAGAGCAGGCAGATTTCTGATTGTCTCTAAATTCTTTCAGTTGAATGTCCTTACCATTTATATTTACCAAAGCCAAAACTTTTTTGTTCAGGATAGAGTAAAGAATGGTTAGATCCACTATCAGATTTTTTTATGTTCTCTATGTTTCCATAAGGAATGTTCACCCTATTTATTTGTCCTGGTACCAATTATCACTGGAGCTGGAAAGAACTTGGAAGATATCCAAAAATTACATTTGTTAGCAGACCTGGAATAGAGGGAAAAGGAAATCTTCCAGTGGAGAAACTTGTGTCAGTGACATCTGTGTAAGAGAGGATCTTCCCTCAGTATGAGAAGATCTCCTCTCATTTACTTTTGCATCTCTGGGACAGGAAATCTCCCCAATAGGACACAGCATTTAAAAAAGTATGACAGTGGTTTTAAACTATTTCCTATTCTATTCAAACGAATTAAAATGTTTTGGTTTATAGATATAAATTATACAGGCAGGCAGGTAAGCATCCTAAATGGCTAATTTATAGAAGATCCTCAAATATCACAGTAATAATTTGCATTTTGGCCACAATATGTTGACAATCTACCTACACCAAAGGTCTTCATGTCGGCCTTTACAAATCTCTTCACACCTAACCTTTTCTGTATCTCTTTTCTTGGGTGAATTCTCCATATATATTAATTTACAGAAAGTACTAGGGGCTGCTGACAATGTTACTGGTTCCCCTATTTGATATTTCCTGCAAACAAGGGCGGACTGACCATTTGGAAACTCGGGCACTGCGGGCATAGATGAGATGCCCCTGGTACATTTTTCATAGGCTTTTTTGAGTTTGGGCAAGGACACAGGGGCCCCATGATCCCTTATTGCTCGGGGGCCCCATGAGTTGTCAGTCCGCCCCTGCATGCAAATATATGAAGAATACACTCTACTAGCATACCTATCACAAAAACAAAGTTTGTGCTCAAAGGTGTCCATTATTTGTATTTAGGCCAAAATATGTTCCCATCCTACCCACACCAAAGGTCTTCATGCATGGCCTTCACAAATGTATGCACCCCTAACTTTTTTCTGTATTTCTTCTCTTGGATGCATTCTTCATGTATTAATTCACAGAAAGTACTAGGAGCTAAACAAAGTTTGTGCTTAAAGGTATTCCTTTTTGCATTGTGGTCAAAATATTTTGGCATCCTATCCACACTAAAGGCCTTCATGTCTGGCCTTCACAAATATCTTTCGTTGGGTGCATTCTCCATATATTAATTCACAGAAAGTAAAGTACTAGGGGCTACTGACAATGTTACTGGTTCCCCTGTTTTATATTCCATGCAAATATATGGAGAATACACTCCACCAGGGGTGGACTGACCATTTGGAAACTCGGGCACTGCCTGAGGGCCCGGGTTCAGTAGGGGGCCCCATGAGATGCCCCTGGTACCTTTTTCATAGGCTTTTTTGAGTTTGGGCAAGGACACAGGGGACCCATGATCCCCTATTGCCCGGGGGCCCCATGAGTTGTCAGTCCGCCCTTGCACTCCACTAACTTATCTACCACCAAAGGTGTCCCTTTTTCTCATCTTAGAAAGTTGGAGGCATGCGACTATAATGTATATGAAAAACAGTTATGAAAATGTAGTAAAACAAGCATTTAAAATAGGCACGGTAAAATAGGCAAATAGGCAAAACTTTGTAGTACATTTGCCAAAAATAACTGAAAATAAACCTTTTTTTTTTTTATTTAAAGTACAGCCATATCCAAATACCATTGTCATTGCCATTTGCTCTGCTGGTGAGTTTAGCATGGGTTAAGTACACATGACTGATGACAACTGCACCTAGAACATTGTTATGTAGATTCTTTGCTTGTGGAGCTGAATGAGGATTTTGGCAATTAGTTAACATCTGTAAGTTAAAACTTACCATGGAAAAAGAAAAGAAAATGAGTAGCTATGCAATCAGCCTGTCTTTGGTTGAGTAGTCAGCACAGCTGTTAGACTTTAGTGATACTTTGAAAAAAAAAGTTGGATGTTTTGATTCCATCCCACATTCAATTTCAAAAGAAACATGAATTTGTGTGGCTTATTTTCTTTGCCTTAAAGTGTTCTGTCTCAGATTACCAGTATTTTTTTTATTCTTCATCTACTTCCTGGTAATGTCCTACCTTATTGTGAGAACATTTTAAAGCACCAAATATTATATTACTAAGCATCAATGATCATTATACAGCGGCCAAGCCCTTTGATAGGTTTGTTCTACAGTATCTTGAAATATGACAGATAATATTACAGTTTCTTAAGAGCATTACATGCACAATGACTTAATTTAAAAAATAAAAGAACTGTTTGTAAAGGCAGGTTTTACTATAAATGGCTAAAAAAAATGAGACATTTTGTAATGTAATGTTATTAAAACGTTGTGTAATCATGATGTTTTGCAAAAATCAATGGCCTTGTTTGCCCTGGCAAAACTAATCAATAGAAATGTGTTTAGTATACGGAGACGTGTCTTGATATGATGATGCTCATTGTAGGTCCACAAATTCAGTGTAAATTTAGAGGGAGGTTCTCTATATATGATAATAAATGGGATATTCCTAGATAGTTTAACTGCCTCCCGCCTGCCATATAAGGAAATGACGGGCGCAAGGATTCTCTTTTTCTGGGAGGACATCATATGACGTCCTCTTACTCTAACCGCGCATGCGCGGCTCGGTGGGCATGCAGCACGGCAATCCCTGGGACACAGCGGATCACCGATCAACAGAAAGAGCCAAAGACGTTGGCTCGGTCATGTGATCAGCCGTGTCCAATCACAGCTGATCGCATGTAAATAAGGAAATGTCGGTTATCAGCATGTTGACCGCTCGAGAGGAGAGGAGAGCCGGTAATCAGCATTCCTCAGAGGGGACATGTACACTGATCATCATGGCACTGATGATCAGTGTGCCCTGATGATCAGTGTAGCCCCAGGAGTGCCACCTGTCAGTGTCCATCAATGCCAGCTGTCAGTGCCTACCAGTGCACATCAATGCCACATATCAGTGCCCATCTGAGCTGCCTTTCAGTTTCACTTTACCAGTGCCAGTCAGTGCCACCTATCAATGCCAGTCAGTGCCACCTATCAGTGCTGCCAATCAGTACCAGTCAGTGCCGCCTATCAGGGCTAGTCAGTGCCACCTATCAGTGCACATCAGTGCCACCTATCTGTGCCCATCAGTACTGCCTATCAGTGCCGCCTAACAGTGCCAGTCAGTGCCGTCTATCAGTGCCTCCTATCAGTGCCATATATGAGTGCTGCCTTTCAGTGCCCATCAGTGATGAGTGTCAATGCCCATCAGTGCCACCTACCAGTGCCTCCTCATCAGTGCTCATCAGTGCCACCTATCAGTGCCCATCAGTGCAGCCTATCAGTGCCAATCACTGCAGCCTCATTAGCACACATCAGTGAAGGCGAAAAATCACTTATTTACAAACATTCATAGGAAAAACTAAGAAAATACTTTTTTTTTTTTTTCAAAATTTTCAGTTGTTTTTGGTTTGTTTAGCAAAAAATTAAAAACCCAGAGGTGATTAAATACTACCAAAAGAAAGCTCTATCTGTCTCACAAAAATGATAAAAAATTTCATATGGGCACAGTGTTACATGACTGCGCAATTGTCATTCAAAGTGTGATAGCGCTGAAAGCTGAAAATTGGCCTGGACAGGAAGGGGGTATAAATGCCCAGTATGGAAGTGGTTAATATCACTTGATCCTGAAAAAACCTCCAAAAAGGAAATATTCATTAGTAGCATGATGGCTACTAATGTGAGCTGATCTAGGTTCATATTGACATGCATTAAAGTGATTGTAAAGGTTGAAGGTTTTTTACCTTCATCCATGCCATTGGCTCCCACTGCTGTCAATCCCAACCAGTGAGCCAATGGGAGAGAGAAGGTGGTGGGGCCGAGCCATAACTCTATGTATCTTATGGACCATAGGACACCAGTGCCCCCATAGCAAGCAACTTGTTCTCAGCTGCATAAGGATCTTAGAGAGCTGGGGGAGGAGAAGCAGCAGCACACTGACCTTCCCAGTGAATGGTTGTGCAGGGGAGGGGGACATTGCAGTATGATTATAGGAGGAGAGCAGGCTGAGTTCTCAGCACAGCCAGAAAATTGACCACGCCAGGATAGATGTGCTCTCATGCCTAGTTTGGTCAGTTTTTACTAGGAAAGCAGAGGGACTGGCAGGAACACCAGGTATTTTACACAAAGAAAGTAATACAAAGAGAACACAATACATTTTCATACAAGTACATGGTATAGAATGCACATATCAGGAATAGGAAATGTTGAGTTGACATATTCTTTAATAACGTAGAGCAGACATCTGATCTCTGCTATGCTCAGCAAGGTGTATATATTTAATTTGTGGTCTGCATTTTTTAGCCCATTCATAAAATGCAGGTCATGTTATTAAGCTATATCCTATGAAAGTCTCTCTGCATAATGCAGCTGAGGGAACTTCATGATTGAAGTCCCAAAGCCAGCAGAGCACTAAGCACATTTATAAAGCACATCACTTATAAATGTGCATTTTCTTTTTTAAAGCCATATTGCTGTTTTATAAATTGCCCCCTTAGGAAGTGAACTTCCATAGTCTATTATGATTCACTTCTACAATTCCTCTTTTCAGATTCTTATGCAGTCAAAATATTTAAGCTATGGATAGTACAACCCTGTTAAGCTGTTATTGCTATCTGTGTGCCTGCTGGGGGTGATTTACCCTCTGTATTTGTCTATGTGACCTTTAATATCAAATACACTCACAAGCTCCATGTGCTTAAACCAGGTATAGGAGATTTACAGCCTCCAGCAGCGTATCTAGTGTTCCTCCAGCCACACCAGATTACCCCATTTTGTGTGCAATATAACTATATGACATAGAGCTCTCAACAAAGTCGATGTGACACAGCGCATAGGTGGAGACTGTATTTGATTCAGTTTTTTTTATCAGCTTTTTTTAAATGGTATCACACTATGTGGATTCAGTTTACATTTGATACAGTATGCTATCAGATGGGGAGATGTACCCCCATCTGGTTGTGGTGCCATACATGCTCAGGTGCGTATGGCCTTTTATAATCTTGTGGTCCAATTCCCACTGATTGGTGCTAAAACGTATGGAAAATGCATGTCCATTTCCATCCATTTTAGTTGTTTTTTCAACATGCGCTGACGTCCATTGACATACATTTTGACGTCCATTGACATGCATGTGCAGCATTATGTTATGCTTATGGTGTGAATAGGACACATTGCAAATTATTGTTGTTCAGATGGCCATCCATTGATATGCGTTTTACAGCTGTGCTAAAATCCAGATTAACGCGCTGGTGTGAATTGGCCCTAAGGTCCTACATTGTAGATGAGTTCTGTTCCAAATACAGGGGAAAAGTCATGAACTAGCTGCAAATATTTGGTGACGTTTGGTGGAGTAGATTATGTTTTTTGGATTATCTGAATTCTAATCACCATTATTTTCTTGCCTAAGCACATCATGAGAAATTGGTGATAAGAAGAATAATGTGGTTATTTAATGTGAACACTGAACATTCCCATATGGAAGAAAAAAATATTTGAAATATATTTTAAAAATATTCTTCCCAAATATATTGACGTATATTTGAAATACTACAATTTTGGCCATATTCAATATATTTCCAAATATATTTCAATATAGTTCAATATATATATACTGTATGTTGAAATGCATTTTTATTACAAAATTTATGAAAAATATTTTTAAAAATACATTACAAATATACTGTATGTCTTTAAAAATACAAATCTACAGTTTTGGAATGCATTTACCAATATATGTATAAATATATTAAAATTACTTTTTTATATGTTAAAAAAAATTCGGAAGAATATATTTAAAAAAATTTTTTAAAACATATATATTTTTAAAATATATTCTTCAGATTTTTTAAACATATAAAAAAGTAATTTTAACTTATATTTTTACATATATGTGTAAATGCATTCCAAAAATGTAGAGTTGTATTTCTAAAGACATGCAGTATATTTGTAATGCACTTTTAAAAATATTTTTCATATATTTTGTAATAAAAATGCATTTCAACATACAATATATATGTGTATATATATATATATATATATATATATATTTATTGAAATATATTTGGAAATATATTGAATATGGCCAAAATTGTAGTATTTCAAATATATGTCAATATATTTGGGAAAACTATGTTTAAAATAAATGTCAAATATATTTTTCCTCCATATGAGAATGTTCAAAGTTCACAATAAATAACCACATTATTCTTCTTATCACCAATTTCTCTTGATGTGGTTAGGCAAGAAAATAATGGTGATTAGAATTCAGATAATCCAAAAAACATAATCCACTCCACCAAACGAAATATTTGAAATGTATTGAATATGGCCAAAATTGTAGTATTTCAAATATATATAAAATATATTTGGGAAGAATATTTTTAAAATATATTTCAAATATATTTTTCTTCCATGTGGGCTATGTTGAAGTTTAGAGTATGAATCTTTGTTTAGCACTTATTTGTGAGAAATAATTGGAGCAATAATTGGATCAATTGCACTTACAAAATAAATAATGAATTTGAATGCTGCACTATTTGCACAGATATTTGTTAGATAAGAGTGAGGACTTTTTAGTTGCTTTAATCCCTTCTCATCATAATCTGTATATTATACTATAATATCTCACAATTAGGTAGTAAAGTCAATTTTAGCTTAAGATATTGAGGTCTGTTAACAGCAGACATTTGTAGCAAGGCCAGCCTGGTACACATGAAAAAGCCTGGAGCTTCACCTTCTAGATAGAAAAGTAAATATAAAATATTCATATACAATATTGCATTTTCACTTGTCCAAAAAAATTAACAGAATTCTGTTTTTGGTCTTTTACAAACAAAGAACTTTGTATCAAAAAACTCTGCATCACCTTACGATGTCACAGTTCTATACATTACTTTACTTAAATGTCCATGATAATTTACATTAGGGTTAGCTATCACTTAAACAAGCATCTGGTCTTTATATTATAGCAGCGGTTATTACAGCTGTCATGTCGACTGACATAACCTTTCATTTCCTGTTTAACAGAAGGATGTATATGTAATGCTGTAAGTGCAATGGACAGTCTGGTTCATCCCAAGGCCGGATGTTCTCACAGGACTGTCTAGAGAAGCAAAGGCTATATTTTAAACGTCTTCTTAGGTCACATGCTCAGCATGATGTCATTACTTCTCAGACACAGCTGAATGTAAGCGTTCTGTCTGTGAGAATGTTATAGCAATTGTTTGTGTGTAGCCAGATTATATGATAAAGCGTTTGCAGACACACTTATGGCAGTTATAAATCAGACTTTTCCTTCTAATGAGACCAGTAAATCAGGGGCTCCTTTTTATCCTTTTATTCTGTGTTAACGGTTACTATAATAAAGGAACAAAGGAAAGAAAATCAGAAAGAAGGATCAAAAACGCAAGCACATGTTATGCTGTTTCTTGCTCAGCGAGCTTTATAAGATGGTGATAAAGTTTGAAGCCTTGCATGACAAAATTAATGAGCATGGAAAGGCGCTGCTTCCTGCCAGATGCTTCCTGGAATGAGGGCACTAGAGCACGGAGATGTTAACATGTCTACAATTAGCAGATCTTCCTATAAGGAGGCCTAAGATCCTTGTTTACTTTGTACTCTTGTACTCTTATTCCCCCCGAATGCACCTTGCAGCTTGCCATGCTAGAAATCGTTTGTCAAAGTCACACTTTTTTCCAAGCAAAATATTGCTCTGCCTTGGATATTTTATTACAGGCATTTATATAGTGTCCTCACATCTGTCCCTTCCTTCAAGAAACTTACAGTCTAAGGTTTCTATCTCACATGGATACATACACATACTAGGGCCTCTTTAGGAAGGAGCCAGTAAACCTACCAACATATCTTTAGAGTGTGGGAGGAAACCAGAGCACCCAAAGGAAACCTATGCAGGAATAGGGAGAACTTGCAAGTTTCATGCAGATAGTTTCATGAACAGGATTTAAACTGTCATGTGCTAGCCACCAAACAAAGACAGCTGGGAAGAAAATGTGGATTTTCTGCATCTGCATTGCAAAAAAATGTATT